AAAATTCTCAAGTACAAGTAAAGAACGCTTTAGAAACTTTAGATGCACTGAAATTTGCTAATGCTTTCACAAAAAATCGCCGTTTTTACCATTTTCGCTATTAATTCTTTTTATAAATCATATATTTTGTAAAGGAAATTTACTATTTTACACTTTATTTTATCCTCACCTTTTTGCCTGTTGTTAGTGTTTAGTGTTGGACAATTTTCGCTCTTAAAATTAACTAAAACTACTCAAAAACGCGAATATGTGGTAGATTTCAGACCTTGTGTGGTAGATGTGGTAGATGCTCAAAAAAGTGGCAGATCTACCACAATGTGGTAGAAGTCCGATCACTGTGTGCATTGCTCAGCTGGCGCTCTTCGTATGTGAAACACACATGTGCTCAGAGAGCGCTCAGTATTCTTTAGGGGTGGCTCACAAGCATGAATATGTTCCACTCTCAAACCAAATCGTGGTTGCCTCAACTAAGATTTGGTAACTATGACTAAACCATGTGTTGAAAGAAAGCTTATCTGCATTAGCAGAGCTTAATAACATCCTTTTATGAACCATACGTTAAGTTGAATGGAATTTGTTGAAATATGCTTCAAAGAAATATTGATTGGTATTAACCAAACACTTCAACTAAATTAACGATTTGTTACAACCTAGATGAATATTAGAAGCTTGGCATGGCTATCAATGGTTATTGTATATAACTACATATGTATCTACACTATATCACAGGTCACTACTACCGCTACGTATGTATATGCAACTTATGTCTATATCACAGATTGGAAAAAGGTCATAAATAAATAAATATAAATAATCAAAACATAAAAATAATAATAAATAATTATATATACATATATATATATATATATATATATATATATAAATAGTCAAAAAATATATAAATAAATAAATAATCAAAAAAATATATAAATAAATAAAACAAGTACATAAAATAAATAATCACATTAATAGTCAAATTAATAAATAAATATCACAGAAGAAGATTTACAAATAATAAAATAATCATAGAAAGAGTCATAAAATATATGTAGGAATAGAGATGTCAAGTGGTAAAATAAAATACACTTAGATAGTTGTCAAGTTGTTAAGGGCATTCAAGTGGCTGCAACTAACACAAAACGATGTGCCACATAACTCTAAACATTCAACATACAACACAGTTATCTAACTATGCCACAAAGATATCTTTAGCGTGGTATACCCCGATCTGCTTGCCACTACTATCAACAAGTTCATACATCGAATTGCAAATCACCTTTAAGATGACACACTTAATCTGCTTTGGAGCTAGTTTTGGATTACAGTTTTCTTTCTTAGAGCTTTGCTTGAAGTTTCGGCGGTATACCACTTGTCCAACTTGAAACCTAACTTCCCTGCTTCTCGTATTATATATTTTTTTTCTTCGCTCGTACGCCATAAGTCTACACATACGTTGTGCAGCATTGCACAGCCCAAATGGCATGACGGTAAAGTGATACGGAGGTCTCCCAGGTATAGTAAAGACAGTTTTCTCTCTCGATTTTTTCTCTAAGGGTATATGACAGAATGCGTCTTTCAGGTCAATGGCGGAAATAAAACGGGTGTTTTGTAATCTGCTTAAGATGCCGTCAATATGGGGGAGCGGATACGCATCTTTTATTGTGCGCTTATTCACCTTTCGCGCATCCAGGCAAAGCCGGTTCTTCGTACCCTTTACCACCAGCGAAACAGGAGAACTCCAGCTGCTATTACTCTCTTCTATCACGCCCATCTCCAACATCCTGTCTAGTTCTGCATATATAAGTTTCTGGATAGCGGGCGAGATACGATAATGCCTTTGCTTCACCGGGAGATTTTCGTTTGTGACCTCTATTATGTGTTCCTCTATATCCGTCTTGCCCAACCCTAGCACCGCAAAGGAGGGATATTGGGCCTTGACCCGTTCTAAAGCCACACTCTGGTCATGGGTCAAGTCATGCTGCTCCGCGTCGAATGTTAGGTCACCCTCAGCGGGTGTTAGCTCTTCCACAACAGCATTGTTCATACTCGTAGTCACACCCTTGCTCACAACACTCATACCAAATGCCTGTCAGAAGTCGACGCCAAGATAAACTTCCTGCTGTAGTCCTGGTACTATCAAAAATTCAAGGTCTCTATTCGCATCGTCCCAACTCCTACCCCCGCCGTGTCCCCTCCATTCGCCATACGAATATTTTGACCTTTAATCGGCACTATGAGGTGTTCCTGTCCTTCGAGGAGTTTTTCCGCGTTCCTTCCCAAACAGCTGGCACCTGGTCCTGAGTCCAAGAGTGCTAACACATCGTGACCACCTATTTTTGTTTTTGCTAAGAATCGGTTATTCTCCTTTAGCGTTACTATCGGCGAGATAATTTTTCTACAAATCCTTTTAAGATTTTTCTTTTTCTCTCTCATTTTCCTAAATTTCTCATAGTTCCTATTCTTTTTATTCATGGTCACCGCTTCGCAAAATGTGCGTCTACGCGCTTATTCGTATTGTAATTTTCTTTTGTGCAGACTCACTACCTATTTCTCTCTTTAAGATGCTCACTGGGCTAATCGCTGGGTTGTCCTCGGGAGGTCCTTCTGCTGGCAAGAGTTCCCGGCAATCTCCTCCAGCTTCGTGTTTCCCGGATTTGGTTTGTACACACAAAAGAGCGAATCACTTCCACACGCAAAACAGATCATATTGTGGAACTTAGACTTACAGAAGGGATTCTTATGCGTACGGTTCAAATCGCAGCTCACAACGTCCGGATAATTATATCCACGTATCCTCTGGGTAGCAACCAAACACCAGTTTGGGAGCGAGCTAAAGTGAGAAGGCGTAAAACTTCGCGAGCGCTGGGTTTGGGTCCCGCCACGTTAAACTCCGCCCAATGGAAAAGAACAAACAGCCTCGGATGAGACCCCCTGCTTCTGATGACGACCACGGCAAACGTATAAAGGACTATGATTTAAGGGTATGCACCTGGAATATTGGGACTCTTCATGGGGAAGGTGCCTCTGCCCGGCTGGTTGATGTCCTCGGGAGGACAAAGGCTGACATCACCGCCATCCAAGAAATGCGATGGACGTGGCAAGGAAAAGTAAGCGTGAAGCCTCGCGACGTCTACTACAGTTGCCACGTAAAGGAGCGCAAATTTGGTGTTGGATTCGTGGTAGGAGAGAGACTCTGTCGCCGAGTACTGGCGTTCACCCCGGTGGACGAACGTCTAGCCACAATCCGCATCAAAGCTATATTCTTCAACGTCTCGCTCATCTGCGCCCATGCCCCGATGGAAGAGAAGGATGAGGCGTCCAAGGATCTCTTCTATGAGCGCTTGGAACGTACATATGAGCGCTGCTCCCGACACGATGTCAAAATCGTGCTTGGCGATTTTAACGCCAAGGTGGGCAAGGAAGGGATCTTTGGCGCCACTGTCTGAAAATTCAGCCTCTACGACGAAACGTCCGATATTGGACTAGTAGTACTAGGTTCCAGCATAAGAACATCTACCAAGTTACATGGCTGTCTCCAGATCGAAAAGCGAGAAACCAAATCGATCATGTTGTGATAGACGGAAGGCATGCTTCAAGCGTTTTAGACGTACGTACACTCCGAGGGCCAAACATCGACTCGGACTACTATCTTATTGTAGCCAAGATACGCACCCGCCTCTGTGCAGCAAAAAATGTGCGCCCAACAATGCAAGGAAAGCTGAACGTCGAAAAGCTGCAATCACAACAGACGGCCAATTTATTCGTCACTCGACTCACACACCTGCTCTCTTAGAGTACTCTTCAACAATCCGACATATGCGAGCAGAGGAACCTCATTTCCCGATCATTAAGTACCGCCGCCGAAGTAGTAGTTGGATTTCAGCGAGCCCGAAAGAACAATTGGTACGATGAGGACTGTCAAGAAGCCGCAGAGAAAAAATACGCCGCCTATAGGGCCACGCTGCGATCGGGCGCAACGCGAGCCATGGGACCGTTATAAGGAACTGAAGAAGGAAGCGAGACATATTTGCCGCAATAAGAAGAGAGGCCGAAATACGTGAGTGCGAAGAGCTTGAGATGCTGGCCGACAGGAAGAACGCTCGAAAATTCTACCAGAGGGTTAGGCGACTTACGGAAGGTTTCAAGACCGGGGCGAACTCCTGTAAGAACAACAATGGCGACCTAGTGACCGATGTCCAGAATATACTTAAATTGTGGAGGGAACACTTTTACAACCTACTGAATGGCAGCAGCGCTGAAAGTAGTGAAGATGACGAACCGGAGTCCCCAGTCGATGATGATGGAGTAGCTGTCCCCCCGCCTGACTATGACGATGTACTAATAGCTATTACGCGGCTGAAATACAACAAAGCTGCTGGAGCTGACGGCCTGCCAGCCAAGCTATTCAAGTACGGCGACGAGGAGCTGATGAGGTGCATGCATCAGCTCGTATGCAGAATATGGTCAGATGAACGCATGCCCGACGACTGGAATTTAAGTGTGGTCTGCCCAATCCACAAGAAAGGCGACCCCGCCATACGCGCCAACTACCGCAGAATCAGCCTTCTAAGCATAGGTTATAAGGTCTTATCGAGTGTATTGTGCGAAAGACTGAAGCCCACCGTCAACGAACTGATTGGACCTTATCAGTGTGGCTTTAGGCCTGGAAAATCGACCATAGATCAGGTATTCACAATACGCCAAATCTTGGAAAATACCCGCGAGAATAGGATCTACACACACCATCTATTTGTCGATTTCAAAGCCGCTTTCGACAGCACGAAGAGAAGTCGCCTTTATGCCGCGATGTCTGAATTTGGTATCCCCGCGAAACTAATACGACTGTGTAAAATGACGTTGAGCAATACCACCAGCTCCGTCGGAATAGGGAAGGACCTCTCCGAGCCGTTTGATACCAAACGAGGTTTCAGGCAAGGGGACTCTCTTTCGTGTGATTTCTTTAATCTGATGTAGAAGATAATAACAGCCGCAGAACTCAACTCCTCAGGCACTATACTTTACAAGAGCGTATAACTGATGGCGTATGCCGACGATAGCGATATTATAGCGCTTTTGCGATTTTTGCAAAAAAACCCCTTTTTCACGTCTTTTTCCAGTTTTTCACCGAAATCTCCGAGGAAGTTAATGTTATGAAACAATGATATACATTTTTGGAAAGGTACAGACCTCTTCTTTGCAGCAATATGTCATTATTGGTAATCTAGTGATTATTACTTCCACAGCAGCCGTTCAAAGTTTAAAAAATTTTAATTTTTTGAGCTTTTTTGGAAATGAATGAAGTTTATTGACTTTTTTCATAAGATACAAATTTTTAATGCAGATATATATGATAACAATTTGAAGACAATTTTGTCACAGACAATTTAAGCTAAATATTGCTTCGATCGAAGAAGACGCATAATGTAAATACAAGCAATTAGAGGATTCTAACATTTTCACACTTCAGGTCGAAAATATGATTTTTCTGTCAAACTTCTTCGTTTGTGTTCCATTCTGTGTTCTCGAAGTTGCATCCAACAATAGTCGCCCATCATGGCCTGATCCCAGAAACCTTCATACCGCTTTGCGATAGTTGCAATGTCCTGGTGAAATCTTTCGCCTTGTTCGTCGCTCTCAGCTCCCAACTTCGGTGGAAAAAAGTTCAAATGACTATTGAGCAGGTGCATTTTCAGAGACATTCGAGCACCTGTAATAAATAAAATGTTTTGTAAATTTGTGGAATGGCCAATGGGAATGGAAGGTTTCTTATTACCTTTATAAAGTAAAACAGCTTTCACACTATATTTGCTACCATCAATACATAGACGCCATTCGTCCGAGTTATGATTTTCTCCAAATGCGGCAAACAACGCGTTAACATTGTTGCAGTAGCAAAAGTCATCTGTTTTTGAGAAATATTGTTCGAATTGTTTGCTACGATTTCTGAAATAAGTTACTTTTGTCTCCGATTCCAAATACCCACGTTCTTGTAAGCGTGATACGAGTAATTCAGATTTTTTCTTTTGATAAGTTCAAAACACGACAATTGATTCATCAGGTTCGGTTTTTGACTCGCTGATCCTGAATAAACGCAGGGATTTGAATCCGAAAATACAGTTCCTTGCGAACTAATTTCTTCTTCTTTCAGTGCTGGTGGTTCGCGTTTTGGGTACACAGAAGCATGTGGTGCAGTTGTTGTTACTGATGATACATTGGGATAAACAGCTTTGCAATTCTTTCCTCCTTGGATTTTGGTTAGGCAGAAGTAGCAATCCGTCACTTGATCAATCGGGTTTCTCCATTCGCACGGCTTTCCAAAAGATAAATACTTCTTTTTGCCTTTGCTGAATGAGCTTAATCGTACAAAACATGTGGCACATACAGAGTTTGGAGTCCATGTTTATCTGGATTCTTGGCTTGAATTCCAAAATATTGTTCATAAGCAATTAAAATGTTTGTGGTTATTTTTTTCCGAGCACTTTGTTTGAATATGTACAAACCACAAATAAAGCAAAACTTATCCGGTGAGTGATTGGACATTTTGAAAGTATGAGCGAAATTTCCTGCGCTAGTTGGGGAAAGTGGGAGGTGCCACCGAATCGAAGCATGACGGTCACCTTCGGGAGGCCCAGTCGTACCACCAAAGGCATGTTCTTCCGTTTTTTTTTTTGCTGCCGTAAGCTAGAATGGTCAATCATAAGATCATAGTTATTTTAGCTGTGAAGCCAGACGGATTGAAAAGAGTGGGTGCCGCGTGATCGTTTTTGTAAAATTAAGAAAAAAGAAACAAAAAGTATAAGTGCCGTAACCAGTTTTGCACCGGTATCAAAAAGCAAAACGGTCTAAGGACTTCATCCCGCTAATCTAATTTAAGCTACCCGCCATTACCAAGGTATGTAAGTAAAATGCAATATGTTCCTTGGGCCACCTCAAATAACTGTCTCATGTGCAAGCGAGCCACAGGTGTATGTACATACAGATATGTAGCGATGCAGAACCGAAAAATAATAAATAGGTACTTTATCGAGTAATATACAGATAAATGCATATACGTTCAACTTCCTAGCGGAGCATATC